TAAGGTAACTTGATCCGATTAAGATATACGAATTTTTAACATTTTCTTTTATAATTCGAGAATGGATGGAGATATCGAGATGCGGTTTTCACTAATATTTAGCAAATTTTATGGTGATTAACGGTCTGTGAAGTAAATAGTACCGTTCCATTTAACTTTTTTTCAAAAATCACAAAAATATGTAACCGCTGCAGATAACGCCCTCTAGCTTATTTGTTTTAAACCAAGCGGTCTTACTGAAAATATCTTTTAAAAGAGCATGAAATGCTCTTTCAAACAAGACCAAAAATATTCAAATCGGTTGAATGGTCCAGGAGATATTAAAATGTAAACATTTGAAAACGCATTGGCCTCCCCCTCCCTTATTATGACAGATATGAAAAATATTGCAAAACAAAAGCGATGCGGTATTATCCAAGCTACTAAATGATGTTGTCAAAGTTATAGCTCATCGTCTAACTTTCTGAGATAGCGGGAATTTTATGTTTCTCTATGGCAGTTACGCCCCCTAGCGGTCGAATTACGAACTTCAAAATAATTTCCAGCTATTTCTCTTGCCCACTTTGCTTACAAAGATTTTTTTCCCAAACCTCTAGGCCTTACCGTTGTTGAGATACAGCCGCTCCGTACGCTTAACGGAACACCCTGTATATATATATTTTTTTTTGTATATTTTTTTATAATTTTTTATGTTTCTTCTTACGTTTGAAGGGTTAGGTGGAAGATCAGTCCTCTGGCTGAACCTCGCCCATCGTCGATTATGTAATTCTAATTGTGTTTGGTTTAGACAGAAATAAAGACCTTTATTATTATTAATAGTGCTATGTGTGTACGATGGCGCGAATGTAATGTCGGGTGTGTATGAAGGAGTACAAACCCTTATAAAAAATCACGCTCCAAATGCAGATTACGTCCATTGTGCAGCACCATCAATTTAATTTTAAATGATGCTGTTAAGCACATTCCCGAAGTGTCGCAATTTTGCGTTAATTTGGAAACAATATATACATTTTTTGGTAATAACGTAAAACGTTAGGCAATGCTGAATAGCGCTCCATCAGAAACATATAGAATTACGCTTAATAAAGTATGTCCTACTAGATGGTCATCAAGAAATGACGCTCTATTCGCAATAAAAATAAATTATCAGATAGTAATAAAAACTTCATATGAATTAAACTTAATTTCAAATAAAAAAATCGAACGGGACGAATGTCAAAATATAATAAACATAGTAAAGAATTATGATTTTATAGTACTCGTGAACTTTTTTTCTCAATTATTTGAAATCATAGATCCCATTTCCAAAGAATTATGACTTACAAAAAGCTAGTACTTTATTAAATAACGTTTTAGATAGTCTGTTAGAAATGCAAAGTCAAAACTCATTCGCTAGATGATTAAATCGAGCGAAAGATTAGACAAAATAGTGGAATATAACACCTCTTTTCAAAAATAAAAGAAGAAGAATTAAGAAGCGTTTTTTTGATGAGTTGTCAGAAGATGAAAGAATATCCAGCTATACTGAGTTTCATAGCATAGTTACATCGTGTTATGAGTCGGCTTTTCGTGAAATCATAAAAAAAGATAAAACAAATACAATTTATACAAAAATGGATTCGGACGAACTAAGAAGAATGAAGAATAATCTGGATGCAATCTTCACTGTAGCAGAAGTTACGAAGGATAGTAAATTCAGGGATCTAGGCTAAAAAGAAAGATCTCAGAAGACTTATAGATGAAACAAAAAAAGAAGCTTACAAAGATTATGCGAATAATTCTGAAAATAAGATAGCTGCTGTATGGAATGTTGTGAAACAGAAAACCGGAAAACTGGTGCAAAGGAAAGTAACCGAATCACATCTAGAGGCAAATGACCTAAACGACTACTATGTACATATAGCACAAACGAAAGCAAGTAGCATGGTAGAAAAAGATCCAATACAGTTCAAACAAATAGAACAAGTTGAAGCTATACAACTAAAACAAATTGAAGAGAAGGGATAATAAACAACTTGAATAAAACAAAAACTAAGGATGTGTATGGAATGACAACAAAATTACTCCAGAATATAGAACCCATAATTAGGGAAATATTGTGTAACCTATTAAATAAATGCTTAAGAGACGGTGTTTTTCCAAATGAACTGAAATATGTAAGAGTAACTCCAATTCATAAACAAGGGGATGCGAATAATAAAAGTAATTACAGACCGATATCAATAATACCCATAATATCCAAAGTCTTTGAAAGTGCAATAAAAAACAGGATCATGGACCACATAAAAGACAATAATCTAATAACACAATATCAACATGCATATCAAAAAGAAAAATCAACAACATCAGCACTGCTTAGTGTAATCCAAAGTATAATATCTGGTTTTGATACGCAAAATTATACACAAGTAGTTTTCTGTGACCTGAGTAAAGCTTTTGACTCAGTGAATCACCAAATTCTTCTGAAAAAAATAGAAAAATACGGCATAAATGAAAATGGAAATAAACTTATTGCTTCATATCTTCAGGATAGACAACAACAGACACACCGGAAGGGAACAATTTCTGAATGGAGAACAGTAGAAACAGGAGTACCACAGGGCTCTGTGCTCGGACCAGTTTTATTCGTGTTATATTTAAACGATTTATCAAACCTCATTCATAAATAGTTCTAAAGACTCAGAAGACCTAAAAGAACAAACAAATATAACATTAAATGAAGCAAAAAATTGGTTCGAAGCAAATAATCTACAACTGAACAGAGAAAAAACACACGTACTTACCTTCTTCACAAAACAAAACCAGGAGGTTAGAGATAATACTATAATGTTTCTAGGAGTTACACTATCGGAAACTCTAGCATGGAGGGACCACATAAAAAAATTGAAAGGAAAATTGGCAACCGGACTGTATTGTTTAAGAATGTTAACAAAAAGTTTACCGGAGGAAGAAATAAGGAATGTATATTTTGCGTACGTTCATAGTATGGCGATATATGGCATACTTACCTGGGGCGCATCTAGTGAAGCGGTTGAGATTTTTAAATTGCAAAAAAAAGCAATTAGAATACTTAAAAAATTAGGTTATAGAGAAAGTTGCAGAGGTTATTTTAGGGAATTGAAGATACAGACAATACCATCCTGTTTTGTTTTTTCTTGTCTACAATATGTTCATGCGCAAAGAGAAACATTGGAAAGAAATATAGACTCTCACAACTACAGTACACGAAATGGAAACAATTTACTGGTACCCTTACACAGAGTACAGAAGTCACAAAATACTTTCAAATATATTTCAATAAAACTATATAATGCTTTACCATCAAGAACAAAACAATTAGACGAGAAGAAATTTAAAGCAGAAGTGAAGAAACACCTAATAGAAAATGAAATTTATTCAATTCAAGAATACTATGAAAGTAAGATGCAGGGTATTACCTAGCAGAGGGAGAGGAAGAGGAACTTGAAGTTAATTTCATGTATTTCTTTTCTGTTTTTTTCTTTTTTATTGACGAATTGAATGTACCATGTTTTGTATATTTAAGAAATAAACTATTATTATTATTATTATCGGATCCAGAATCGTATTTCAGAGTCAACATATTTTATTGCTGTACCGATATATTGATTGCTAAAACAAAACAAAGATTTCAGGCATTGTATAATTTGAATAATATATTTGACGTTTTACAACCGGATAAATTACTTTCATTTTCAAATGAAGAAATACAAAATAAGACAGCAAATTTGGCCAGCAATTACTTTCAAAAGTTGGGTAAAACTTAACTTCAAAAATCTACACACTTGTAGAATTGCTTGTTATAAAATTCAATAGCCTCACCTCTAGATTCCCAGAGGTTATAACAGCATGTTTTATATTTTTGGCGCTTCCAGTTACAACCGCAACTGCTGAAAGAAGCTTTTCTAAATTGAAGCTCATTAAAACATACCTAAGGACATCTATGGAACAAGATCGACTATCGGATTTATCAATACTGTCCATAGAAAAAGAGGAACTTGAAAAATTGAAATCGTCATCAGCAATGAATGATATCGTAAATGCCTGCTTGTTTAAAAATAAATTTTTGTTTTTGCGACTGTATATGTATTCTTTATTGCCCCAAAAAGGGCCCCCAATATTTTATTGATACAGGGCCCTTTCATGGCTAGCTACGCCACTGATAATAACAAGATATGTAGGAGTGAAGAGATAATTTTCAGTATACTAAACAAAGGTAATATTTGCTTTTAAATGCTTTCTATTTCATTTTGATATCGTAATTAGTTTTTGAGATGTCATCTTATTAAAATTAGATTTTATACGCATAAAATTTACCAAAATGGTGATGATATACGGTTTAAGCACGCGTGGATGAACTTCGCCTTAATGTAAATTATTATTTTTATTTTACTGTTGGTCTAACTGTAGTTTCCTTAGATTTTGAAGTATTTATTGCTGCAAAATTAGAATAAAAGTATTGATTTTAGTGATTTGATTTTAATAAAAAACATTTTCCGTTACCATTATTTATTCCTTACATTACAAATTATCGTTAGTTACAACCTAATATTATTAAAATAGTCCGTCCAAAAAACGATACGGTTCACATTTACAATTTTTTTTGTTTATTTTTTGTTTTTTAAATTTTCCTTCCATAAAATTAATTTTTATACTTTTTTTTTTGCAATCATCGCACTTCAGATAATAAAACCGTGCCTTAATTTGTCAAATTTTTGCAACATTTTCATCTTAAATTTACAAAGTTACATAATCTTAATCTAATTACATAATAATAATTAATTAGTTTTTAGATCTTGATCATAATTTTACATCTTCTTGTGTTCTTTTCGACTTAATTTCTTTTTGATTGGTGTTATAAATTTAATTCTTCTTTTTGGGGAAAGCCATAGTTAACAGGGTATAAAAACCGTCGAACATTCCCAACGCGATCAACGTAACCGTCGCTCCGAAAAGTAACCGATCTGTCGCACCACCTTTAAGATAAACGGGCGTTCCATCTTCAATTTGAAATTTGGCATAATTTTTGAGTAATTTCGGTGGCGGCCATGCGACGGTTGAATTCGATCGCGCCTTATGAAAGGTATTTAAGTAGACACGCCGTTCAGCATGTCTCAAGAAGGTGTTCTAAAAAATTATTAATAAGAAAATAAAGGAAAATGTTTAAGATAGGATTATTTAAAGATTTTTGATTTACCAAAGTTGCAACTCTTGAAGCGACTCGGAACAAGCTTTGCACCATCACAGTACCAACGATAAAACCGATCTGAAAAGTCTTTCAATTTCAGTTCTTATTTATAATTAGATGTAGCAGTTCGAAGCCAATTTATTTGAGTGTGATCTATATTTAATTGAAAGGGCACGTATTTTTTAATTGTTATTATTTGCACGTGAAAGGTGATTTTATTGCGACTCAATCTTTTTGATTATTTTTTGTTGTAAATTTTGTGTTTATGTTATCTATATTTGCTAGAATTCGCCGTTTTTGTCACCCTTTGGAAATAGTTTCCGGCTCTGGCTAGCATCTTGGTCTTATTGATGCTTTGACAGAGGAGGAAACTACAGAGAAAACGTAGGAAATTCGACAAGATGTGGCGAGAGTACTTAAATTAGCGAAGGGCACTAGGGACGATCAGAGAAAAAACAGACATCATTGTCTTAACAGCAGACAAAGGCAATGCCATCGTCGTCATGACAAGATGACGAGAATTGCGGAATTAATTGAAATTATGCAAAGAATAGCAGATTTGTTTACTTTTTTCATTAGTAGGCCATGAAATAAAAAAGAACAACATTTTCCGATGTATAACAACAATAATAGTGTTTCAGCAGAGATATTTCTAAAGCTTCCCCTTATTATATTCTTCATATCTTGTTGTATCAGCGGAATATTAACGTACACTTGGGTTTTGACGTATTCCCAAAGGAAGAAGTCGCAGGCAGTTAGATCACGTGATCTTGCTGACCATGGTATTGAATCTCCATAACCCATCCAATATCTCCCATACCGAATAATTAGAAACTTCTGAACGTCCCTGGAATAATGTGCTGAAATATCATTCCTTGTCTAATCTCTAAATCTACATCTTCTATACTCTGTTTTTAAACCAGGAGGAGTATTTTAAATTTGTCACCAGATTGACCTTGCACGTGATTGGTTGAATGCGAGGAAGGTTCACACACAGGCAATTTTGAATTTGAAGGTTAGGTTATTGACAATTCGACAGTTTCGTGTCATTATTGTAAATTTTGTGTTCTTAAACCCTTCTTTATTATATTTTGAAATAAATACACTCATAACTTCAATGTTAATTTGTATGTTTAGTGTTGACGATAACAAACGAAAATAAATACAATAATAAGTAAATAAATAAATAATAATAATTATTAATTTAAATTTACCGCCAAAATATCTAGTGATATTTTCTGGTGATTTTTCCTAGTGTAAATCTGACTTTCGCGTTTACTCCTCCTGGTTTAAAAACAGAATATAGCAGCTTTGGCCACACTTCTTCTAAAAATGTTCTGTAAATTTGTCCCGTTAGTATTTCATCAATAAAAAGTAGCACAACTATTTTACTGTTAAAAATTCCAACCCAAACATTTAACGACTATATTTTAATTATTTTTGCGCCTTAACCATAGAGGATTTTCGGTAGTAGTCCCGTCGCTTTTAAAAGTAGCATCATCACTAAATAGAAATGATGGCACGAAAAGAGTGTTCATTTATTGCTTCTAAAGTTGTACAAAAAGCTACTCTGTTAGCAAAATCATCTTCATGAAGTTCTTGGTGTAAATTCAAATATGCCGGGTTTATACAGAATTTAGCTGTAAATTTAAATTTAAAGATTTAGATTTAAGGATTTTATATAGCTTTAAGAAAAAAATTGATTTATACAGAATTTAAGATTTACAGAATCGCAACCTCAAAAAACAAAATATTACTGGTTTTTGTGTTGTCATTTTCTACCAATATCTTATCTTTATGTTCAGAACATTTTTTATCGCAAATATATCGGTAGTTCTTAACAATTTTAATTAATTTTCCATCAAATTCACTCATTTTGTTGGCACAGAAATAAACAACAGTCATTGGTTACAGCTGATTGAGGTCGTCTTGCGCATGTGTGACGCTGTAAATTTAGAAAAGTTGACCAACTTTATGTTTACAGCTAAATCTTACAGCTTTGTATAAACAATACATAGGGTTTCAATACATTTAACTCTTACAGCTAAATTTTTAAATTTAAATTTACAGCTAAATCGTCTGTATAAACCCGGCTATAATATGAATGGTAGTTGTGAAGACTTGTAATGCGGTTTAATGAGCTTTTACTCATATATGTTGCCCTATTGTCAGTGCCATAAATTCTGCAAATTATCAACTGGACAGAATTATATGTCAGAATATCTATGAGGTCAGAGTACCACTCCAACATGTCGTGGATGGTCTTCGCCAGAAACTCATCCTGGAGGACTTACCGAAGTATGTTCCAGGGCTAGTGGAGTACTGTTTAATATCCACATATTTTTGCGGGAAGGAAGAATTCTACGAGCAATGCCAAGGGGCAGTCCAAGGATCATGTTTGTCACCGGTAATCACCAATTTCAACATGGAGATGTTTGAGGAAGAACTTCGTTATGTAGATAACACTTTTGTGTTGTTCTGGTAGCGTGGAAAAGAGCGTTTCCAGGATTTCCTAGACCACCTAAACTCGCAACATCCCATGATTAAATTTACGATGGAAATGGAAGCAACAAATCAGTTGCTTTTCCTGGATGTTTTGATCATTAGGAAGACAGATGAGAACATTACAATAATATAATTAATATGCATGGAAGAACCTTAGATTTGATTTTATCATCATCCTTAATTAGAAATCAAAATTGATTATAAGCACCGATTTTTCTTTTTTAAGCATCTATACATAACGTCGATAATGCAGTTGCCGCGTTCTATGGCATATTGTACGAGATTCTGGCTCTTTGCGTTCCGGTAAAACAAATCGGAGTTAATAAATACCCAGTGTGGTTTAGCCGAGATATAATAAAAGATATTAGAACGAAAAACACTCTTCTTAAACGCAAAAACGAGTCAGACCACCACCTAAATAAATATAAGGAAATTATGGCCAGGATCAAGCGCAATATTGGGGTAGCATACGACAATTATACAAGAAGATAGATATCAAGAAGTGTGGAAAACAATATTAAGGCAGACCCAAAGGCATTCTGGAACTATGTTTCTAACAAAAGAGATAGTTTCAATCGAAGCCAGATTCAATTTAACGGGGATCTTTCATCTGCTAAAGATGTCAGCTCTGCTTTTGCGGATTATTTTAAATCTGTATATGGGCCTACATCGAATTATTCTCTTTCTTTCTATGATGAAATTATCAGTAATAGTGTTTTAAATTTATTTAGTTTACAACCTATTTCAATGAAGGAGATTGATGATGCTATAATTAAGCTAAAATCAAAACGTACAGAGGGGCCTGACGGAGTTCAACAAATACGTTTCCAAATCAATGGAAACTTGCAAGGGTTACGCCAATTCATAAATCAGGCCACACGGGCGATGTAAAGAATTACAGACCTATTTCGGTAATCTCTTGTTTCGCAAAAGTTTTTGAACAAATAATTTATCACAGAATAATTAATCATGTTAAAATTACGTTACATATTGACCAACACGGATTCATTCCTAACCGCTCTGTTGAGACCAATTTGTGTATGTTTTCTGACTATGTGTCCAAAGCGTTAGATACAAAAAGTCAAGTTGACGTTATATATACTGATTTTACAAAGGCGTTTGAAAAGGTCGATCACGATACCCTTCTACGCAAGCTGGCGCTTTATGGTTTCTCTTATCCAACTCTTAATTTCTTTGTATCGTTCTTATCCAATAGGAATTACTATGTCACATATAAAAACACACTCTCAGATGTGTTGGGGATAGATTCAGGGGTTCCGCAGGGAAGCAATCTGGGACCTTTATTGTTTCTATCATTCATAAATGATTTACCTTTGCTAATTAATCCATCTAGATTCTTACTCTTTGCGGACGATATGAAAATATTCACATCTGTTCGTGATCTAAGTGACTGTCAGTCCTTACAGTCTGATCTGGATAATGTGTGTAATTGGTGTTGGCTGAACAAGCTTCACTTTAACGTGGCCAAATGTGATCAATGACATATTTTTTTGGGAGGAAGCCGATAGAATTTGTGTACAGAATAAATAATATAAATTTGAAATCAGTTGTCAGAAAGAAGGACCTAGTTTTTACCAACAATTTATGCTTTGCCGAGCACGTGAAAACCATAACTTAAGCAGCACTTCGACTCTTAGGATTTATTATAAGAAATGCTTACAGTTTTTCAAATGTGGAGACGTTAAAATTATTATTCAATTCATTGATGCGATCTAAATTAGAATACGCGGTAATTGTATGGGATCCTGGATCAGACCTTTATTCAAACTTAAACGAAACTATTCAAAATAAGTTTATTCGGTATACTTATTACAAACAATTTAATGCCTTTATCGGGTTCAGATCGTACGAATTTGCGCGTATATTATTTGATATAACTAAGTTATCTATTAGAAGGAAAATCATATCGCTTTGTTTTCTATGTAAAATATTAAATAATAAAATAGATGCACCTTTAATCTTGGAAATGATTGGTTTTTACGTGCCGGCATATTGCGGACGATTGAAAAATCTATTTTACATTCCCCGCTTTACCACTGAACTCAGAAGAAATTATCCTTTTATTAGAATTCTTTTGTTATATAACAAACTATCCATGGCTTCCTTCATCCCACTATTTGGCGTTGATGTAAAAACAGTAAAAAAGAATTTGATTGATTTCATAATTCTTCGTGCATTCTGTTCCATTCTTTTGTTCCGTTTTTATGTTATTGTTTTATTCTATTTCATTTTGTTTATTTTTACTTATTTGCTTTTTTATTGTTTGCTTACAAATCGAGTACGGCTTAGTTTAATATTTAATTCAATTTTGTTTAATTATTATGTATTAATCTAGTATAGGTAATTCCGAAATCTGTAATTAGGGGAAACCCTGTTTATTTTGGATGAATAAATAAACATAGAACTGGGAGTGTATTGGGGTGTATGCTATAAAAATATATATTCACAATTTCCAAAACTTTTCAAAATGGGCGGCAAATAGCAATCGTTTTAGGGAAGGTTACGGCGCGAGTTGTTCGCTTTGGACGGTTTAGGATTCGTTATAGTGTAATTTAATCAATTTAATATTTAAATCAATCTTTAAATTTAAATCAAAAGCTAT